TTGCCCACCAGGTCATATTTATGATGGCTTCAGTGTCCTGTGGTCACGTGGTCCCTAGCTTCCTAACAGTGAGAAGAATTAACCAGTGGAACAGCTTGCCACCAGAGGTTGTGGGTGCTCCATCACTGGGGGTTTTTAAGACGGGAGTGGACAGCCACTTGTCTGAAATGGTATAGGGTTTCCTGCCTGAGCAAGGGGGTTGGACTAGAAGACCTCCAAGGTCCCTTTCAAGTCTGTTATTCTGTTAAATGAGGAAGGAAGGAAAGGAAAGAAGGAAGGAAGGAATTAATTAATTTCCTGACAGTGAGAACAATTAACCAGTGGAACTACCTGCCTCCAGAAGCCGTGAATGCTCCAACACTGGAAGTTTATAAGAAGAGACTGGACAGCCATTTGTCCGAGATGGTATAGGGGTTCCTGCCTGAGCAGGGGGTTGGACTAGATGACCTCCAAGGTCCCTTCCAACTTTATTTTATTATTATTATTATTATTAACTAGTGGAACCACCTGCCTTCAGAAGTTGTGTGTGCTTCACCACTGGAGGTTTTTAAGAAAAGACTGCACATAGGGTCTCCTGCTTGAGCAGGGGGTTGGACTAGATGACCTCCAAGGTCCCTTCCAGCTTCTCCTCTGATTCTGAAATTCTAGTCCTTCTAGGCTTGAGAAGGCCATCCTCTCCTGTCCCACCTCGGTTTTCTCTTCCAATTCATCTGCATAAGCCTTGCCATCCTTCCCCACCTCGTTCTGAAGCTTTGCTACTGAGAACTGGATCTAGCACCAGAGGTGAGGTCTGACAAACATACAATAAAAATGCCTCTTAACTGTTAGTCCTCGCGACTCGGGGAAAAAACAACAACAACAAGAACAAAACCCCACAGTTCTATTAATACAATCGTAAAGAAGAGGGGACATTTTTTTGCATAGCAGCAATCTGTGAAAACGCACACGCCACGAGATGCTCTCGTTCGGTTCGCTCGCACAAAACACCGCCGCATCAGCTCATAAAAAGCCTTCTCCATCTCCACCCTGGTCTAAAGCAATCCGCAGCGTAGAAACACTTGGATTTGAAATTTCTCAGAGGACACACTGGAAAGGCCTCTCAAATCACCTTGCAATCAAAACACAGAGATTGCCTCAGCCTGTTTGCTAGAGAAGATTCTACCGAGCTGTGCGCAAACAACAGTTCGACTTCCCGATTCCCCTTGAGAGGTAAAGGCAAGCCAAGCCAAAGTCAAGAGTCCCTGTTACAAATTCACCGGTCACTTCGTCCCAATCTGTTTACTCAAAGGATCCCTCAAAGCCGGCAAGAGAATTATCGGAATGGGACAACTGGCCGCGGCCAGCTCGTCACGGTCAACTTGCTGCAGTCAACTCATCATGGCCAGCTTGTCACGGCCAGTTCATCATGGTCAACTTGCCACGGCCAGCTCATCACGGTCAACTTGCCACAGCCAGCTCATCACGGTCAACTTGCCGCGGCCAGCTTATCATGGTCAACTTGCTGCAGCCAGCTCATTATGGTCAACTTGCCGCGGCCAGCTCGTCACAGTCAACTTGCCGCGACCAGCTCATCACAGTCAACTTGCTGCGGCCAGCTTATCATGGTCATCTTGCTGCAGCCAGCTTATCACGGTCAACTTGCCGCAGCCAGCTCATCATGGTCAACTTGCCGCAGCCAGCTCATCACGGTCAACTTGCCGCGGCTAGCTTATCATGGTCAACTTGCTGCAGCCAGCTCATTATGGTCGACTTGCCGCAGCCAGCTCGTCACAGTCAACTTGCCGCGGCCAGCTTATCATGGTCAACTTGCTGCAGCCAGCTCATTATGGTCAACTTGCCGCGGCCAGCTCATCACAGTCAACTTGCCATAGTCAACTCATCACAGCCAGCTCGCCACGGCCAACTCACCACGGTCACCTCGCCACGGCCAGCTCATCACAGCCAGTGCGTCACGGCCAACTCGGCATGGCCAGCTTGCCAGGGGTCAAGTCACTGAGAAGCAATTCAACAATTCAATTACTTAAAATAATTTTGAAAAAAAAAATGATCTTAATTTTTGCCGTTCACATCTTGTTGTCTCCCTCCTTTGGCACCCTTCCCTCAACGATTCTATTAGGCCAGGGGTGTCAAAACTCACAATGTCGCGTGACGCGTCGCGACGTTATCGCAACTTTTCCCCCCCATCGCTGGCAGTGGGTGGGCGCGGTTTCACCCTGACGCATCCGGCCCGCGGGCCGGCAGTTTGACACCCGTTATTAGACTCTTTCTTCCAAATTTGCATAACTCTTGTCCTGCGATGAGCTGTCCCACAGTAATTGGCCAGGGCGAGTTTGTCTTGCGGCAAGTTGGCTGTGGCAAGTTGTCAAAGACCTCCACATTTATACACAGTCCTCGAGATACAGAGCTACAAGGACCCTCAGGACCCCCAGTTAGGAACAAGAAAATGTTCGCTTTTCTTTGACCTCTCCAGAAATGGACTGTATCTGCTAAAGCAGGGCGTTTCAACCAGTGGTACGGGTACCACCTGTGGTACATTGGCACCTGGCAGGTGGTACGCGACCATGCTAGAAAAGTGGTAGCGGTGGAGGGGAATGAGCTGAACCGGTGGCAGCATCGCACAAGCTTGAGCGAGTGATGGCTGGAGCTGCAGGGCTGTGAGGGCTCAGCGGAAGCGCCAGGATCAGCGCCCCTTTCCAGCTGATCGGCGCTTTTTCAGGGCTGTCAGGGCTTACGGAAGCGCCAGGATCAGCGCCAGGCTCCTGACGCTTCTGCTGAGCCCAGAAGAAGCGCCGATCAGCTGGAATGTTGCAGCCTCTCCAGGGTCTTGTGATTTACATTCAGATGCTTGGCAACGGATTCATATTTATGACGGTCCCAGTGTCCCAGGGTCATGTGAAGAGACCAAAACCTGCTGCAACCACCCAGCAGACGGGGGGAATAAAAACCAAACACCCCCCCACCCCGTTCCCACTGCTAATCCTCAATAGAAATACTCACAACAATGAAAACCTCAGACAGGAGGAAGAGCGCCGCTGGGCAGGCAGGCAGGCGTCTTGCTCGGCTGTGGCTTGGGGGACACTTTTTTTAGTGCCATTGTAACTTCGAATAGTCACTGTTGTAAGTCGAGGACTACCTGTACTTTATCACTTTTTTCCTTTTTGGGGGGGGGGGTCATCAAGTTTTTGACACCTTGCTAAGCTACTGGTGGTACTCGGATGTTGCCGTATCCTAAAAGTGGTACAATGGGTGAAAAGCTTGAAAAGCCCTGTGCTAAAGAACCAGCCAACGTTAAGCAGCACCCAAAGCTTTGAGTCCGCCCTGCCCATAACTCTATTTTCTGGGCCACAAAAAGCCAAGGATGCTTTTTCAGGAGGCAATTGGACTTTCTTGTTTTTCCTTTGAAGACGTTTCGCTTCTCCTCCAGGAAGCTCCTCCAGCTCTGACTAGACGGTGGGGAAATGGAAGGATTTATACTCCTTGCAGACAGCTGGTCATTTGCATTCTTGTAGAGCAGTGGTTCTCAACCTGTGGGTCGGGACCCCATTTGGGGTCGAACGACCATTTCACGGGGGTCGCCAAACAACGCAGTCCGCCATTTTTTTCCCCCTTTTTCTTAGCTGTGCTCCTCCCTTTTATGCTATTGGCTTTGGAAAGCCAATAGAAGAGACGCTCTTGAATAGAGTCTAATTCTATTGGCTTTCAAAAGCCAATAGGAATTGTCCAGGCTGTCTCTGCCCTGCTGAGCCCGCCAAAAGTCCCATTCTGCAAACGGTGCTGCACCAGTTGAGTAGTCCTCAACTTACGACCGGTTGAGTAGTCCTCGACTTACGACCGGTTGGGGGTCGCGGCATTAAAAAGGTTGAGAACCACTGTTGTAGAGAGTCATTGAGGCCACTTGGAGGTTTACCTGGGTCCTCAGGGTTACATGAGTCTTGTAAATGTGTGTGGAACCTTTTTTGGCTGCAGGATGTTCTCTGCCCTACGTCCCTTCACTGTTGAAGATGGGCACAGGTTGTTAGGGATGAGTCTGTGTTGTCCGAATCTCATTTGTGCTTCAGCAGACTCATCCTGCACCCATTTGCACTACTCAGGTGACCCTGAGGACAGAGGTAAGCCTCCAAATGGCCCCAATGACTCTCTAAGAGAATAATAATAATAATAATAATAATAATAATAATAATAATAATAATAATAATAATAATAAAGTTGGAAGGGACCTTGGAGGTCATCTAGTCCAACCCCCTGCTCAGGCAGGTAACCCTACACCATTTCGGACAAATGGCTTTCCAGTCTCTCCTTAAAAACTTCCAGTGTTGGCGCATTCACCGCTTCTGGAGGCAGGCTGTTCCACTGGTTAATTGTTCTCGTTGTCAGGAAGTTTCTCCTTAGTTCTAGGTTGCTTCTCTCCTTGACTAGTTTCCACCCGTTGTTTCTTGTCCTGCCTTCTCTTTGGAGAATAGCTTGACTCCCTCTTCTTTGGGGCAGCCCCTGAGATACTGGAAGGCTGCTATCCTGTTCCCCCTCGTCCTTCTCTTCGTTAAACTAGACATCCCCAATTCCAGCAGCCAGTTCCTTATATGCAAATGACCCGCTGTCTGCAAGGAGTATAAATCCTTCCCTTCCCCACCCTGTAGTCAGAACTGAAGAAGGTTCTTGGAGGAGAAGCGAAACGTCTTCCAAGGAAAAGCAGAAAGTCCAGCTGCTTCCTTGAAAAAGCACCTTTGGGGTAACCCTGACCTGGGCGACTGAGCATCTCCACAGATAATTGTTCCAAGCCACCTTCGGATCCAGCCAGCCACCCATCTGCCCATCCCACCAGAGACAAACCACAGCTTTGAAGAGAAGAGATGGGGAAAGCGCTCCGAGGCCTGGCAGCTGGATTTCTCCTCCAGGCCTCATCGGGGAGGGGGGGAAAGGGGGTGTCCGTTCCCACCTCTGTCCGCGAGGCCTGGAAAGCCAGACCTCCAGGGCCCACCGGCGATCGTCCGGGCCCGACTCACCAAGTTCTGTGGGCTTCAACAGTTCATCCAGCATAGTGTAGAAGGGTAGCTTCACCAACCGGACCTCAGGCTTCGCTGGTTTGACCGGCAACCGTCCGAGTCCGTTTAAATACTTTCCGTAGAGGGAAGGATAGTCTATGTTAGGGGTGGAAAGACCAGTCCTGGTTACTGTGCTGTTGCGGTCGTAAGAAGGATGGATGGAAAGGGCTTCGGAAGGAGGTCGGTGCTGCGGGGCGGGCGGGAGCGGCTGCTGCTGCTGCTGTTGGGGAGTTTGTCCCGGATCGGAGATCTTGGCGTACCGCGTCTCGTAAATCTCTTTGATCTTCTTGAACAGTTCCGGGCTACAGTCAAACTGGACCAGCTGCAAGGCCCGGGTGACCAGTTCGTGTTTGAGTCCGCTCTTGCTCCGACCCACAAAGCCCAGCAGCATCTGCAAGTCGGAGACCCGGAAGCTCATCACCATGTTCTGCGAACGAGATGGGAGGACAGAGAGAGACAGACAAGCCTTGGCGTCAACACACAAGAAGCAATCGGAGGATCGAACTAGCCCAGTGGGGGCGAACCCAGGGCACGGGTGCCAGAGGCGGCACTCGGAGCCCTCTCGGTGGGCACGCGGGCCGTCGCCCCAGTCCTAGGCCTTCAGCTGGGTTTTATAAAACCTTTTTTTGCTTTAGGCCTCCGCCGTCGTGTGCAAAAAGAAAAAAGAAAAAAGGTTCAATCAGTCAATTTCAACTTCTCGCGGGAAAAAAAAGATCTCGCAAAGTTGGAATGGATGGATTGAACTTTTTAGTCCAGCGGTTCTCAACCTGTGGGTCGGGACCCCATTTGGGGTCGAACGACCATTTCACGGAGGTCGCCAAACAACGCAGTCCGCCATTTCCCCCCCCCCCCTTTTCCTTAGCTGTGCTCCTCCCTTTTATTCTGTTGGCTTTTGAAAGCCAATAGAATAGACTCTCTTGAATAGAGTCTAATTCTATTGGCTTTCAAAAGCCAATAGGAATTGTCCAGGCTGTCTCTGCCCTGCTGAGCCGCCCAAAGTCCCATTCTGCAAACGGTGCTGCACCAGTTGAGTAGTCCTCAACTTACGACCGGCTGAGTAGTCCTCGACTTACAACCGGTTGGGGGATCGCAGCATTAAAAAGGTTGAGAACCACTGTTTTAGTCCCACCCAGTCTGCCGTTACCACCGCAGCCACGCCCACCCAATGGGCCACGCCCACCCAATGGGCCACGCCCACCCAATGGGCCACGCCCACCCAATGGGCCACACCCACCCAATGGGCCACACCCACCCAGCACTCGACGATGCATAAGTGGGTTTTGGGTTGCAGTTTGGGGCACTCGGTCTCTAAAAGGTTCGCCATCCCTGGTCTAGCCCAAGTCTCGACGACCTTCAGCACATTCCTCACACACACCCCCAGCTGCAAAATTTTAGACCCACCCAGGTAGTCCTCGACTTGCGACAGTTCGTTTAGGGACCGTTTTGAAGTCGCAACAACGGCACGGAAGGAAGTGGCTTAGGGCCGTTCTTCACGCTTACGACGGTTGCAGTGATCGTGAACTGAGACGCTTGACAATTGACTCAGATTTACGACCTTCGCAGTGTCCTGGGGGGGGGGTCCTGCGATGGCCTTTTGTTACCTTCCGACAAGCGAAGTCAACGGAAAAGCCAGATTTATTTAGTAACCGTGTTACTAACTTAATAACTGCAGTGATTCACTTAACGATTATGGTTGTACAATGGGGCAAAACTCACTGAACAAATGTCTTGCTCAGCAACAGAACTTTGGGGGTAGAATTGTGGTCGTAAGCCGAGGACTATCTGTTCTATGATAGGCGGCCTCTTCAGGGTTTCTTCTTAATCATTCTGAAGTTTATTCTGTGTATCACACCTACCTATCACCAGAAGACATCTCTGCCCGAGGAGCCCAGAATTCGGGACTGATCAAGCTTTTTATTATTATTATTCAAACAGGGTTGGCCAAAGTCAACACTTCGCTCTACCCTTATATCAGTTTCCTGGACAACTCTATCTTTAAAACAAAAAACCAAAAAACAGCTCTGGAAGCCAACATCCTTCTGCTTCATTTCCCGTCTTGTTTTTCAAAATATCTCCAAAGGCAGCTGATGCCTAAATAAATAAATACGGTATCTCTGGATCACAACAAAGGACAGGATGGGACAGGACAGGACAGAATAGAACAAAAAAAAAAAAATGGAATGGAGTAGAATGGAACGGAACAGAATATAGAACAGAACAGAACAGAACAGAACCAGAATAGAATATTTAGCAGAACAGAATAGAAATAGAAATATAGAATAGAATAGACCAGTGGTTCTCAACCTTTTTAATGCCGCGACCCCCAACTGGTTGTAAGTCGAGGACTACTCAACCGGTCGTAAGTCGAGGACTACTCAACTGGTGCAGCACCGTTTGCAGAATGGGACTTTTGGCGGGCTCAGCAGGGCAGAGACAGCCTGGATGATTCCTATTGGCTTTTGAAAGCCAATAGAATTAGACTCTATTCAAGAGAGTCTATTCTATTGGCTTTCAAAAGCCAATAGAATAAAAGGGAGTAGCACAGCTGAGGAAAAGGGGGAAAAAATGGCGGACTGCATTGTTTGGCGACCCCCATGAAATGGTCATTCGACCCCAAATGGGGTCCCGACCCACAGGTGGAGACCCACTGGAATAGAATATATGGAATGGAATAGAATAGAATAAATGGAATGGAATGGAATGGAATGGAATGGAATGGAATGGAATGGAATAGAATAGAATAGAATAGAATAGAATAGAATAGAATAGAATAGAATAGAATAGAATAGAATAGAATAGAATATATGGAATGGAATAGAATAGAATAGAATATATGGAGTGGAGTGGAGTGGAGTGGAGTGGAGTGGAGTGGAATGGAATAGAATAGAATAGAATAGAATAGAATAGAATAGAATAGAATAGAATAGAATAGAATAGAATAGAATAGAATAGAATAGATGGAATGGAATAGAATAGAATATATGGAGTGGAGTGGAGTGGAGTGGAGTGGAGTGGAATGGAATAGAATAGAATAGAATAGAATAGAATAGAATAGAATAGAATAGAATAGAATAGAATAGGAAGCTGGAAGGGACCTTGGAGGTCTTCTAGTCCAGCCCCTTGCTCAAGCAGGAGATCCTATACCCGTGGTGGCAAACCTATGGCATGCGTGCCAGGGGTGGCACTCAGAGCCCTCTCGGTGGGCATGCATGCCGCCGCTGCCAGCACCTTGCGCAGGTCCATTACGCCAGCGCCACCACCCAGAGTGGTAGCGCCACCAAGCACAAGGGAGGCGAAGCGGCCAGCTAGCACGCTCGACTAGAGGTGGTAGAGCACGCCCACACCCAGCAACCCAAAGGCCACCCCGAGCAGGGAAAGCCGGATCCCCATCGGCGCCATGGCCCCCCAGTCCCAGCTAGGACTGCGTGCCTCCCCCCTCCATCTATGCTGGGCCTCCTGCCCACCGCCCCACCCGCCAGAGACCCCCTGGATCTCCCCCAACCCTGCCCGGCTCCCACAGGCTTCCCCCCTCCATGAACATTAAGGTGGCCGTGCCCACCCCAGCCACGCCCACCCAGTCTGCCGTGACACCCGCAGCCATGCCCACCCAGTGGGCCCCGCCCAACCAGTGGGCCACGCCCCCATGCCCCCCCCCCCGAGGGCACCACAATGCTAATGCGGCCCTGGCACTTTGCGATAAATAAGCGCGTTTGGGGTTGTGGTCTCTAAAAGGGTCGCCCTTACTGGTTCAGCTGAAGCCCGGTTGCGGCTAAAAACAATACAAACAACCAGGAACGCACAAAGCTGCCTTGTGCTAGGAGTCGAGTCAACCTATAAATAGCTCCACCATCCAGGTTAGGACTTGTCGCAACTCTGCAGCTGGTTCTTTAGGTCAGTGTTTCCCAAACTTGACAATTTTAAGGCATGAGGACTTCAACTCCCAGAATTCGTTGCTGGCTGTGGAATTCTGGGAGTTGAAGTCCACATGCCTTAAAATTGTCAAGTTTGGGAAACACTGCGTTAGGCCAGGGATGAAATGTGAGAGATTCAACAGGCAACGAAAAGCACGGATGTGTTTGTGTGACCACCGCGGGTGATCCTCGACTTACAACCGTTCGTTTAGTCACCGTTCAAAGTTACGACGGCGCTGGGGGGAAAAAAAAGCGACTTAGGACCGTTCTTCACACTTACGACCGTTGCGGTATAACCCCGAAATTCAGACGCTTGGCAACCGACTCACATTTTACGACGGCGGCGACATCCCCCGGGGGGGTCACGTGACCCCCTTTTGTGGCCTTCTGACAAGCCCCGTCAATGGGAGGGCCAGGTTTGTTTAACGACGGCGTTACTAATGAACAGCTGGGGTGATTCACTTAACAATGGTGGCCAGAAAAGTCGTAAAACGGGGCAAAACTCACTTTAAAAAAGGTTTCACTCAGCCACAAAAAGTTTTGGGCTCAGTTGTGGGTCGTAAGTGAAGGACTAGCTGCAGTTCAGATTTGTGGTTGTTGTGGACTTTCTCGAGCCACAGTCAAAGGGATTTCTTTCCTCATCCCTGTCAAATGATCGTCTGTAGCCGTGCTTCAGAAGTAGGGGACGACAAGTATAGGTAATCCTCGACTTACAATCACTGATTTAACAACGGCAGTCACAGTAGCAGTGGAAAAAAGGAACTTGCGAACAGTCCGCACACTTTCAACCGTTGCGGGAACATCGTCCCCAGGGACGCATGGTCAGAATTTGGCCATTTAGAAACTGGCACGCATTTACGACGGTTGCAACACCCCGGGGTCATGTGACCCCCCCCCTTCGTGAGCAACTTCCTCCAAGTCAGCAGAGGAAGCTGGACTCACTTAATGACCCCATGATTCACTTAACAACCATGGCAGTGGTTCACTTAATTATTGGGGGGGGAAATGGTTGTAAAATCAGGTGTGGCTCATTAGCTGCCTTGCTTAGCAATGGAAAATTGGCGATAGAGATAGATAGATAGATAGATAGATAGATAGATAGATAGATAGATAGATAGATAGATAGATACATACATACATACATACATACATACATACATACATACAATAGAGCAGTGGTTCTCAACCTGTGGGTCGGGACCCCATTTGGGGTCGAACGACCATTTCACGGGGGGCGCCCAACAAGGCTGTCTGCCATTTTTTTCCCCTTTTCTTTGGCCACACCTCTGGCACCTGGTGATGTATAAGTGGCTGGGGGTCACCACAACATGGGGAACTGTATTATGGGGTCGTGGCATTAGAAAGGTTGAGAACCACTGCAATAGAGGTAGATATAGACAGACAGTTAGAGATATGATAGATAGATAGATAGATAGATAGATAGATAGATAGATAGATAGATAGATAGATAGATGATAGATAGATACATAGATAGATAGATAGATAGATAGATAGA